TTTTAATTCCGGATCCGCTCCAGAAACCAAACATTTCCCTGAAGCCAGATTCACGGGTGTTTGTGAGAGGGGAAAGCGCCGAGATCTCTTTTTCTGGGAATTATCCTGGTAGCAATTTTTCTTTATACAGATATGGCAAATTTGTCAGATCCCAACCATCTCCAGAAATTAGCAAAACGGCCACATTCAGTCCATCGGACCTCACCGCAGGAAACTATATGTGTAACTATGCTACACACATGCACGGTCGGGAGTTCACATCACCAGAGAGCGATCGAATAGGTATCTCCGTCTGGGGTAAGAACGAAAGCCTGGACTCCCTCACCAATGATCACTTACTGCCCCAGAGTGTCTAGACATCGCGATCACAGCACGCATCCGCCCGATCCTCCCTCTTATTTATAGATTCATACAATTATATAGCACAGAAGGAGGAGATCCGGTCCATCATAACTGTGTCGGCTCTTTGAAAAGATTTATGCGATTCAGTCTCATTCCTCCGCTTCCCTTCTCTTTCGCTTTGGAAACGTTGCCTTCCAAAATAATTATCTTCTTTCACTAGCTTTGTGACACGAGCCAGTCCCCATTCCTCCATTCCTCTCCCCAGCTGACCACATCATTCCCTCCCGCAGACAACCTCCCTTACCCTCTCTCCCTCCCATTACCCCTTTCCACTATCAATCACACATGCTTATACCCTCCCATAACATGATACACTCCCACACACTTATTGTTTCCCAAACGCTCTTTACTCCCACTGCGACTGTTTCACTATCCCATCCTCTGACTGCCTCCCAAGGCTTCGAATCCCCACTCTCTGATTCCATCCCACAGCAATGCCCACTTCCAAACCCTGTCGTACACTCTCCCTCACGTGAATGTCTTATTACTTCTTGAAAGTATCTAGACTATATGATTCAATGCTAGATTCGGAAAGCGAGTGCCACCATTTCATTTCACTCTGTGTGAAGCTCTTGCTCCTAATTTCCTTCTTGGATCCACTGTTTCTGGTCTTAAATCGTTGTTTTAAAACACGGCTGAAAAGCACACTAGAGTAAACTGAAATCACGTCGTACCGTCCAAGGCAGCAATTGTGTGTTTCCTCAGTCCCCCGCTCTCCCTAGGAACCCCACTTCCATCCATTGCTCCACCTCCCTTTGTATAACGAAACACGAACTGGAGTTTGTCTTGTTCCTGCCCCTCAACCGCTCCACCTCGTCCTGACGCCTCCCTCAGACTGAGAAAAATGCAAATAGTTACTTTTACTGTGACCTGTACTGTTTTCGTGTCAAAGAGCGAGCCTTTGTGAGGTTATTTTTAATGTGTTTTCATTCCAGATCCGCTTCAGAAACCCAACATTTCCCTGAAGCCAGATTCTCAGGAGTTTATGAGCGTGGAACGCGCTCAGATATCGTGCTCTGGGAATTACCCTGGTAGCAGGTTCTCATTATACAGAGACGGCGAGGTTATCACATCACATACAGCGCCAGAGTATAATTACAGGGCGACATTCACGCCATCAGAGATCAAGGCAGGAAACTACACGTGTATGTATACTACATATATAGAGAGACGTCAGTTCACATCGCCAGAGAGCGAGCGATTGGTTATATCTGTGCGCGGTAAGAGCTGAGTAAATTCTCAGAATATTATCTGTTTGCATTTTGAACATTGACAGCATGTCTTGTTGTAACCACACTTTAAACCATCGACCATACATCCATGTTACCTCTTAGTGTTGGCTGGAGTGTTTGAGCCCAGGCGGAATCCCAAACCCGCGTTAGAATTGTTTCCAAACCAAACACCCGAGCGATTCCCACACGGCCTGACAGGGATTAAACTATTCGTGCTTTACTCAGTTGGAAAGGCGCGACTGCTGAACCTCACTTTTGTCACATTATAATGTGTTTTTTCTCTGTGAGACAAGCAATGGTGACCCCAGTTCTTCCTACTAAATGACTCCTGTTATTTAACCAAGTACAGCACACAGCTTGACACTAATTGCAATGTGGCACAGAATCCCTTCCTCTCTGGCGATGAACAGCCACTCACGTTGACTTGCATTATTAAACCCAAGTGAAGGAACCCCAGCTCCTAGTGACCAATCTTCTCCTCAATCTCTTGCCGTTGATC